GCCTGCGCGTCCGGAGCCTGTGCTCCGCAACGGGAGAGACCACAACAGTGAGAGGCCCGCGTACCGCAAAAAAAAAAAATAATAAATAAAATAAAATAAAATAAAACTACAGAAAAAAATAGAATATTTAAAAAATCTTATATTGAAAAAGTTCTAACAAAACTCAGAAGATTTTTTTTTTAAATGGACAGGCTTGACTAAAATTTTTAAAACTTCTGTAAAATCAGTCTTCCAGTATTCCAATTCTGGTTCTGCCACTTAGTAACTGGGATACCCCATGCTAGTTACTTATTCTTTCTGTGTCTCAATTTTGTTATTTGAGAAAAGGGGATAACAATAGTACATACTTTGTAATATAGGAATTAAATGAGATACTCCATGTAAGGCACTTAGAATGGTGTCTAGCACATTGTAAATGCTCAATAAAAGTTAGCTATTAGTGTTATTACCACTACAACTTCTGAGAAAAATAACATTTACAAAGTTAAAAGATAAGTCACAGACTAGGAGACATTTGTCGCACAATAAAGAGACAAAAGGTAAATGTCTATAATATACAAAGAGCTTTTACAAGTCAATAACGCCCCCGCCCCCCCCACCTGCCACCAACAACTTGGGGAAAATGAACAAAGAATGTGAACAGGTATTTGATAGAAATTCAAATGGCCACTAAATATATGAAAAAAGTTCAAGTTCATTAAGAGCAAAAGAGGGACTTCCCTGGTGGTCCAGTGGCTAAGACTCCGCACTCCCAATTCAGGGGGCCCAGGTTCGATCCCTGGTTGGGGAACTAGATACCGCATGCTGCAACTAAAAGATCGCACATGCCACAACAAAGACCTGGCACAGCCAAATAAATAAGTAAATCAATATTTTTTAAAAGTCATTAATAGTGAAAGAACACAATTAAAACAATATTTAGATAACATCATCAGAATTTTTTTTGCCTCTCACATTGGTAATATTTGGTGTTGGTGAAGATGTTGGTTGGACTGTAAATTATTCCATTTTTAGAGAGAAATTTGGCAATGTCTATTAAAACGTAAAAAATGTAAACTCTGAGCAGTGTCACTTCTAGGATCCTATCCAACATAAATCCAACAGTATTTCAGCATTGTGTACAACATCAAAACTTCGGAAGCAAAAAAAAAAAAAAAGATTACCGATAGGGACATGAGACATTCAATCAACTGAGTCTTATGTAACCATTATAAAGAATGGAGTAACTTCTTATGAACTCACCTTGGAAGATGTTTATGACATGTTCAATGAAAAAAGTACAGGGACTTCCTTGGTGGTCCAGTGGTTAAGACTCTGTGCTTCCACTGCAGGGAGCACGGGTTCGATCCCCTGGTCGGGGAACTAAGATCCTGCATGCTGCATGGTGCAGCCAAAAAAAAAGAAAGCCTATTGTAGAACAATATGTACATTATGGTCTCATTTCTATAAATATTAAAAAGTATGCACATGTGCATATACACATATACATATAAATTTATATCTGCATAAGAATTAAAAAGCCTTCAGCAAAGGTGGGAACCCAAATGTCAACAGTGGTTTCCTCTAAAGTGTGGAATTCCTTCCTTCCTTCTTTTGCTCATTCATTCATTCAGCAAATGTGTTGAATGCCTAATACATGTTAAAGGCTGTTTTAGGCACTGTGGACACAACAATAAATACAATAAACAGAATCGGTCTTCCCTGGTGGCGCAGTGGTTGAGAGTCCGCCTGCCGATGCAGGGGACACGGGTTCGTGCCCCGGTCTGGGAAGATCCCACATGCCGGGGAGCGGCTGGGCCCGTGAGCCATGGCCGCTGAGCCTGCGCGTCCAGAGCCTGTGCTCTGCAACGGGAGAGGCCACAACAGTGAGAGGCCCGCGTACCGTAAAAAAAAAAATAAATAAATAAACAGAATCCCTATCTTCATGTAGCTTACATTCTAATGCAGGGAAACAGACAATAAATAAATAAAATACATAGTATTTCAGATGGTGATATGTGCAATGGGGGAAAATAAAGCAGAGAAGGAAGATGGAAGGGAAATTTGCAATTTTTTTAAAAAATAAATTTACCTGTTTATTTATTTGTTTTTGGCCGCGCTGGGTCTTCGTTGCTGTGTGTGGGCTTTCTCTTGTTGCGGCTCACGTGCTTCTCATTGCGGTGGCTTCTCTTGCTGCGGAGCACAGGCTCTAGGTGCATGGGCTTCAGTAGTTGTGGCTCGCGGGCTCTAGAGTGCAGGTTTAGTAGTTGTGGCACGTGGGCTCAGTAGTTGTGGCGCACGGGCTTAGTTGCTCTGTGGCATGTGGTATCTTCCCGGACCAGGGCTCAAATCTGTGTCCCCTGCATTGGCAGGCAGATTCTTAACCACTGCGCCACCAGGGATGTCCTCCCAGTTTGCAATTTTAAATAAGGTGAATTGAAGGTGTAGAAAGAACATTTCACATCTTTTTTTTTTTTTAAAGGAATCAAATAATTACTGTGAACTGTAACACAATTTCTATGAATGATGTCTTTCTTCAAAGTCTATGAACCATAATGTAATTTTTTTTCACATTTTCTAGGGAAGTATGAGTTTCTTTATGTAAAACAAATAAGATGTAATTTTGACTAGAGAAGGGCAGACCGCAGAGGAGAAAATGGTGATAAAATCTTGGGAATTGCAGAGACTGGTATTTTTTTAACATTTCTAATGATGGAGAGAAGAATCAGACAAGAGTTGTGTTTAATCTGACATATAGCAGTTTTCCAGAAGGATTTAATATCTTCTCAAGACTTCACATATATTTAAGAATTGTTGCCTTAGCTTTACTAACACTAACATCACAAATTTTCATGCCAAAATTTTGCGGTACGCGGGCCTCTCACTGCTGTGGCCTCTCCCCCTGCGGAGCACAGGCTCCGGACGCGCAGGCCCAGCGGCCATGGCCCACGGGCCCAGCCGCTCCGCGGCATGCGGGATCCTCCCGGACCGGGGCACGAACCCCCGTCCCCCGCACCGGCAGGCGGACTCTCAGCCACTGCGCCACCAGGGAAGCCCCCATTTCACATCTTTTGAAAAAAATGGTAGGATTGAGTGTTTGTCTTTCTTATTATGTGGATGGTTTTCTGTATTTTACAAGTAAACAGGATGAAAAGAGAAGAAAAAGTTATAACAGTAAAATTTCTGACCTGGGGGTAGGGCATAATTGAGACTGATTTGGTTTTTTCCTCCCCCATCTTTAAAAAATCACCCCTAAATGCTCATTCCTGATGGCAAAAGATAATCTACAATGTGTGAAATTCTCAGTTTCTCTTCCTCACTCATTGGGTATATTACTGGCATATCAACTGGTGTGTCATTTTTGATATTTTTCCCCAAATACTTGCTTTCTTAATTATGTTTGCCTAAGGGCATTTAAAAATTAGTTTGCATTTCTAAGTACAAGTCTATAGGGAAACCTGATAAAATGCAGATTGCTTATCTGTGTGGAGTAACTTCATTAATCCCATAGTAACCCTTATTTTATTAGCTCTCCACATTAGAGAGCAAGGGACCTAAGGAACAAAAGGTAAGAATTTTGATGGCAATTAATGTCAACCAGATTGATTGCAAGTTTTCAGACAGGGGGACAAAATCTGCAAATGGTTTTATGAACCCTGATTTTGTGCAAGGTCTGTGGTGGATGAACTGGTGAGCTCTCAGTGTCCTTCCCAGCCTGCTCCTTTGGCTCCTCTGTGAGACTTTTAAGGTGTGTGGAGAGGAAGGGGGAGCAATGACTTGTCATCTGCAGGCAGAAAAAAGGAAGTACAGGCAACTGCCACAGAAAAGACTTGACGTTAGACATGAGGGATACCTTCTGGATGTCTGCTTTGGGATCCACGGGAACAGCAGTCTGAGTTCCTCATCCTGGGATCAGGCCCTTGAGTGGTGCTGGGACTAGTTTCAGAACTTAGCAGGAGCCAGACGCGTCCCCACCATGGAGGCTTCCAGAAGCTGCTCCAGGGCTCCATCCTCCTCGCCAACAACTAACTTTCTTCACTTTTCTGCTCCTCAGTTTTCCCATTAATTTAATGGCCAGAGCTGTCTTTGCCACTCTTAACTTCTGGAGGTTGAGGATGTGTAAGAGAAAGGAAGATTTGCCCTCGTGCAAACAAAACTAAAGCCTTTTAAATTATATTAGTAGTAATCCTGCCAGGCAGGGTTTGTGGAGGGGCTACACACTGTCATTTTTTCCTTCTTCAATAGACTGTTGGAAAGAGTTATGACAGGGCTTCCCTGGTGGCGCAGTGGTTATGAATCCGCCTGTCAATGCAGGGAGCACGGGTTCGAGCCCTCGTCCGCGAAGATCCCACACGCCGCAGAGCAACTACGCCCGTGCGCCACAACTACTGAGCCTACGCTCTGGAGCCTGCGAGCCATAACTACTGAAGCCTGCGCGCCTAGAGCCCGTGCTCCACAACGAGAGAAGCCACCGCAATGAGAAGCCCGCGCACCGCAAAAAAGAGTGGCCTCCCGCGCTCAGCAACTAGAGAAAGCCCGCGTGCAGCTGCGAAGAACCTAGTGCAGCCCAAAATTGAATAAATAAATAAATTTAAAAAAGAAATAGTTATGACAGATATTATTATACCCTTCTTGCCTGAGCCCTGCCCTCCGGTAAAAAAGATGGACAGTGGTCTCTTAACTCCTGAGCGGGAACTAACTGATTTAGTCATAGTAAATGGGAGTCTTTCTTTTGTTTATTAAAGCCTCGGTGGGTTGATTATTGAGCATCAGTATATGATTCACCTGATGTTAATCACGCTACTAAAAACGATGACCAAAAGATTGCCTTAGGTAAGTCACGTTACTGTCGATACTCTGAATGATCCTTTCCTGCCCGGGAAGAAATTCCCCTCATAGCTAAATTCTGTCTCTCTTTTAACCCCTTGCGGAGCCCCATCAACTATACTGGACTACCTCTCCCATCATGCAATGGGAAACGTACACATCGCCTCCGTGATCCGACGGGAACTTTAACCAATCCGATGACAGGGCTCTCATTCGGCGACCTTTTGACTCTGGGTAGAGGCGGGACTCTCAGTTGCTAGGTTCGTACCCTTTCCGGAAGTGGTTATTGGCCGCTGCAGGGCAACACCCCGGCGTCCCTGGAAGCTGGGAGCCCGGGTGGTGCTGGGGAAGCTGCGCAGAGCCGGGAGCTAGCGCCCAGGGCCTCCCGGGGTGGGGGACAGGTGAGAACCCCCTGGAGGGAGGGTTGGGTGGCTAGGAAGGGAGGGAAGCGGGAAAGTCGAGGCACACTCGTGTGCCACCGAGCGGGATGTGCATGAGTGTGGGCGGGAACTGAAGGAAGAAGTGAAGACGGAGCGGCCAGATCAGTGCGCCTCTATCCAAAATCTGAGCGGCGGAAGGGCCTGGGCTGGAGTGCTGGCGGGGCGGTGAGAGCGGGCACTGGGCCACGAGTGTGAGCTGGCAGGGGCGCTCGTTTATTTGTCCTGTTCGGATTTAGTGTGTAAGGCCGGCCTTCTGAACCCTTGAACATTTCTCTTGTGGGGAAGCTTCCCCCCATGTCCGAGTCGGGGCTGGCCCAACCTTTTGCCGTCTTTTGGCCACAGCTGGGGAAGTTAGTAAGTTTTTTGTTTTCATTTTTTCCTTTCCTTGCATTGATTCAAAAATCTACCTTCTCCTTGTGGAACCGCGCTCCTCACTTGCCTTCCACGACTCCTCTCTCTCTGGGGTTTCCTAACGCAGCCCCCTTCATCAGCCTTTGCAAGCCCTTTCTGTTCGCTACACTCCATCTCTGAGCGGCTTCACCCAGAGTTTCAGTTACCATCTATTTAACAGTTAACTCCCCAAACTGCGGCTCCCGCCAGACCTCTCTTCTTGAGTCTTGAGCTCCGACTCGCTTACTGATCATCCCAACTGAATGTCGCCCCATCCTTCCCGGCCCCCCGGATCTGTTCCTCCTTTGTAGTTCCCGCCTCAGTGAAGGACTTCACCCATTCACTCAGTCAGCCATGTCTGCACTTGGAATTCATTCATCTATTATAATATATGCAGCAACATTTGTTGGCCATTTGTTGGCCATATCTAGGCAGTATGCTAGGTGGGGCTATCGGGCAAGGCATAGAAGTGAACTGATAATCACAATATACTGCTTTCAGTGCTCTGATTGTCCTCCTGCCTCTCCCTTACTTGCCGCAGACATCAAGTACTGTTCTTTTGCCTCGTAATACACCTGGAATCTGGCCCTTCCTTTCCATTCTCACAGCCACTGACTTAGTTCATAATTTCTTGCTTTTTTTTGGCCACCATGGGGACCTTAGTTCCCCAACCAGGGATCGAACCAGTGCCCACTTCATTGGAAGCACAGAGTCTTAACCACTGGACCGCCAGGGAAGTCCCTAGTTCATAATTTCTTGCCTGTGTTTTCAGGATACCTTTCTAACTGGTCCCTCCACGTCTTTTCTTGCCCTCCTCCAATTAGTTCTTACACAGCTGTCAGAATCGTCTTTCTAAACTACAGATCTGATCAGGCCAGTCTCCTTTGTGAAATCTTGTGGTGGTTCCTCATCATGTTAGGATACAGCCTCAGTCCTCCCAAGCCTTTTATTATGTGCTCCTTGCCTTCCATTGTAGATCTCTGTCTTGCCATTGTCCCTTGTGTGCTGGTCACATCAGAGTGGTTAAGAGCTCAAAGCTTTGGAGTCAGATAGATGTGGGTGCATGCACGTTCTGCTGTGCCATTTACTAGCTGTGAAACCTTGGGCAAGTTTAAAAAACTTTTTGAAAACTTGCTGAGCCTCAGCTTTCTCTTTTGAAAAATGGGGATAATAATTTCTACTTAGCAGAGAGGATGAGGTGTGATGATGTATATATAGCATTAGTACAGTTCTTGGAACATAGGAAGTGTTCAGTGAATATAAGCTTTTGTTGTCATCATTAATTCTCTGCACCTACCATATACTCTCTTCTGCCTCTTTGCCTTTGTGTAAGCTGTGTCTTCTGCCCTAAATAACCTTACTCCCTTATCCTGGTGAACTCCTGCTTATCCTTCAAGAGCCATCTCCATGGTCCTCTACTCTGCAATGCTTTTCCTGATCTTCCAAAGTAGGGTTAATTGCCCTTGCCTTTGTGTCCTGTCGTATTTTCTGATACTTCCCTTAATGCACTTAACACACTATATAATCATGTGTTTACATATTTGGCTTCACAACTAGGTTGAGCTGGAGCGTTATCAGGTTTGTGGCTGTGGCAGCACAGTGCCTGACCCATGGTAGGTGTTCAGTAAATGGTTATTGGATGTCTGAATGGCCTTAACTTATATTCCCTGGTACTAGCTTTGTCCTCTAGAACAATGTAGACTAAGCCCTTTAAATAAGTGAATGGTAATAATAACAACTAACATTTATTGAGGTCTTACTATGTTTTGAGTATTTTACATGTATTGAGTCATTTAATCCTCACAACCCTTTTAGATAGACGTTGTTATTATCCCCATTTTATAGATAAGGAAACTGAGGTAACTTGCCCAGCTGGTAAGTGGCAGAGCTGGGATTCAAAGCTAAGAATGTTCCCAAACCTGTGCTCATTTCCACTGCATAATCAACTCTAATGTCTTCCACGTTCTCCTCAGTGCCTTCTCCAGTAAATCTTTTCTTTTCTGGTGGTGAACTTTCTTTATAATTGTTCAAGCAGGGTGGAAGAAATAAATATGCAGGGAACCCTAAGTATGCATATATGTGTGTATGCTCTGTGAGTACGCAGGTGTGCAAAACGTTTTGGCTATGCCTGTCAAATTAGACCACATTCACAGTAAGGTGACCATAATGTCGAGAGACGGGGAACCAGTGGCATGTATTGAAGGGAAGGGAGCTGGGAAAACCTGGCTTGGAGTAGTGGTGCCCTGGGTGCCCTTTGTGGGTCCAGAGGGTGGAATAGGGCAAATGGGAGGAAGTTTCTTAGACATAGATTTTTGGCTTACTAAGAGAAAGACCTTTTCATAGTTAAGGATGATCCAACTGTGGAGTTGGCAGTAACATCAGTAATATTGCTAAATTTATTTAACATGTTTTGTGTACCAGGGACTGTGCTAGGCACTGTACAGGTATATATTATCTCATTTCATCTTCAAACAACCTTTTGATGTAGATTATCATGATTGTTTGAATTAAGCGCATGAGGTTATTGAGGCTTAGAGAGCTGAAAGTACCTTGCCTAAGTTCACACAGCTGGTAAATGAGAAAGATGGGATTTAATTCAGGTGTTTCTGGCCCCCAGACTGGTGCTTCAGCCACTATGCTGTCTGGCACTTAAAGCATAGAGAGGAAGAATTTGGCAAGGGAAGGGCAGTTGGACCAGAGCTCTTGTGGGCTTTTTTTGCGTTTGACATTCTTTGGCTGTATATTAGTGGTTTAGAGCACTGACCAAGCTCCTACGTTTACTTAGCTTATTTTACGCTTGGTTGGTAAATGGAGAAGGAGGCAGAGGCATGACCCTCAGAAGCCTGTGGCTTAACAGGAGAGGTGGAACACATTCCCATAAAAAAGGTAATACTGTGAAAAATATGCCTATGAACAAAGGAAAACTGTGTCCTTTGTACCGAGGTAGTTATAAGTAGACAGGAGGGGCCGAGGTTGGCCAGGGAGGGCTTCCTGGAGGAGGTGTATGAGCCTTTCCATTTTTGCTAGATTCTGGGATTGGCAGGAGATGGATGAGGACAGTTGGGTGATCCTTCCCCACAACTCTGTGGCTCACAGTGAGGGTCAGGCCTGGTGGCAAGCACATCTCATCAGGTTTCATCTGATCTATCGGTAAGTGCTGCGTGGAGTACCACGTTGACGGTTCTGAAGCCATGTCTAGGGTGCCAAGATTGACAGTGATGTCCCTCACGGTCTCAGGCTTAGAGGAAAATGTTAGGACGTGTGCCGTGTGTTTCCTGAAGCTGATCTCAGGGCTGCTTTCTTAGATGTCTCATCTTACCCCTGCTCACCCAGGTTATCATCACCTCTCATCTAGATCGGCTCTCGTGGTTTCCTACCTAATCTCTCTGCGGCCACTCTGATTTTCTTCTTTTCCAATCTGGCCTCCATTCCTGTGTGTATTTCCAGTGGCTGCCTGAGTAATCTTTTCAAAATATGTATCTGGAAAAACCCTCTCCTGATTTCCAGCTCTCTTATTATAAAAGCCAAGTTCTCCACATGGTCTGGCTTCCACCCACCTGCCCAGCATCATCTCCGACTATGCTTCTTCTTGCTTAGTGTTCTTTCCTGTTGAAGGGCCTTTGCACGTGCTGCTGCTTTTGTTAGAACGTCTTTTCCTCCTCTTTTTGTGTGGTGAATACCTCCTCATTCTTCACTTCTCGACACAGTCTTCATCTAAGTCAGGCTCTTTTCCTTCAGAGCTCTTACCTCATTTAAAATTATACACTTATCTGTGACTGATTGGTTTGTCTCCCTGCCTCACTAGACTAGCCCCTGGGGAGTAGCAGCTGAATCTGTTTTTAATCACCATTGCATCTCTAGTGCCCAGCAGCAAATAAGTACTTCCCGAATGAGTAAATGATCTCTAGTAGCCATTGAACAAATGTGGTTTCTCTTCCACCACCTTCCTTATTCCTGCAATTCCTGCCCTTTTGGCCCTGTCCTTGCCTATATCTATCCTGAAGCCAGGCAAGGCAGGGGAAGAAGGTAGACTATCGCTCACCCGTATTTTAGTTTTTTTCTGGCAGAAGATTTGTTTGACATTTGAGTAATCCAGGAATTTAGATTTTCCACATTCTTCCTGACCTTTAAATAGTTAAACATAGCCGGTTTAGTAAATAGCTAATTAGGCATTTTGCCAGGAGGACAGAGATTTTACCTGCCCCCTGCTTTCTGGAGATGGGATGTATCTAGGGATAGGTAACATTTTTCAAATGCAGAATTTCTCGAATTCTCTGAGATGGTTGGTACAGTGCCTTGTAGAGATCACTGCCTGTTGAATTGAATAACATACAGCCTGATGTTCAGGCCAGTGCGCTTCCTACCTCCCCAGAGATCCTTTCCCTTTTTCTTTCCCTCTCCTCCCTAACTCAGAGGATTAAAGATTCCGAGGGCTCCTTAAACCTCCAGGCTGTGGGCCACATCTCCTGCGCTGGTTCTTGGTCCTTTTCTGCTCCGCTTTTTCCGCGTCTGGCCCTACTCATCTCTGACCGTATGTGTGGAGGCTCAAGCATTATGTCCGCAGGTGTTATAGGTTGTTAGGGGAGGGAGAAGATTCCCACTTAGGCTTAAGTACTGCAGGGAAGAATGTTTCTTTAGCCTTTCTTCCTGAGGCACAAAGGTGCTGCTTGGAGGTGTCGTGGTGGGAATGAGAGGGTGCAGAGCCTGGCTCCCTTGGGTCCAGTGACTGACAAAGGGAACCATCTTTTGTGAGCCCTAAGGCAAGACACCTCCCTTGCTCATCTGTCAGCTGCCAGAGTGCAGAGAGGGCCACGGGAATGGTCCCTCAGAGATCCTTTGCGTTTATCAGGGGCCCCTCTCCAGGGATCTTGGAACAGATTCAGAGTCACCAGATCTTGCCGTTTTCTGAGCACTCATCACAGGCTGCATCCCAACCTTCTTTTTGACGATGAGGTCTTTTTTTTTTTGCCTTGCCCCAAGGCACGTGGGATCTTAGTTCCCGGACCAGGGATCGAACCCGTGCTCCCTGTATTGGAAGTGTGGAGTCTTAACCACCGGACCGCCAGGGAAGTCCCGATGATGAGGTCTTTCTGCTCACTTCCTCTGCTATGAGGGCTGTGTCCTGCTTGCTGCCCTGGGTGTAACTGTGACAGTGTCTGAAGAGGTGGCTACAGGAGAGGTCAGGACCTGCTCCTCCAGGCTCCCTTCGGTCACACCGGTGTGGCTGCCACCGCCCGGTTAGGGAGGCATTCTGAAGGGCTGTCCGTGGCAGCCACTTTACAGGGTGACTTGTCCCTGTGTCATCGGGCTTCAGCATGGGAGCTGCTGTAGGGGAGGGGTGCTGTGACCTGGGGTCCTGTGGTCGTTGTAGGAGTAGGGATGCGAAGGAAGGAGCAATTCTAGAACCGCGCCAGCTTGTCAGTTGAAGAAGGTGGCACTGCCCTGTCCCTGGAGCCAGGAATCTTGGATTCAGGTTGGCTTCCTTTCCAGTCTTCCGCGCCCCCCCCCCATTCCTGGTCCTATTAAACCTAACATCACAGCATCCCTTGTGTCTGTCCCTTCTTTTCCATTCCCACTGCTTCTGCCCTAGTTTAAGCCCTCATCATCTTTCCCGGGGACTGTAGCCTCCTCAGTGGTTTTCCTGATGCCAGGCTCTCATTTCTCCAATCCGGCCAGGCCACTCCTGCCAAAGTTCTCATCCTAAAAAAAGGCCACTCTGTGTCACTTTCTTCCACCAAAGCCCGCAGTGGCTCCTCTCTGCTGCAGGGCAGAGTTGAGGCCCTTCAGCATCATCCACTGAGATCACCATGACCAGACCCAGGCCTGGCTTCCACCCCGGCCCCTGCCATGCACGCTGGCATCGGCTCCCCAGACCACCTTGCCTGACATGCTGTTCCCTCTGCCTGGGATTCCTCTCTCCGCTGTCAGAACTCTTGTCAGCCTTTGGTAGCCAGCTCCTTGACAAAGCCTTCCTTCATCCCCGCAGTGGGAGTATGTTACTTCTGTGTTAGTACTCCCAGAGCAGGATGTGTTTTTCCCTTCTGCCTTCTACTACTGTTGAAGCTGTGTGTGCTGCCTTGCTAGCCTGTGAGCTCCCTGAGGGCATTGTTCAAGGTAAACAGGGACATGCAAACAGGGCTATGTGTTGGGACAGCGTGACTGCACCTGGGGTACATTGGTATATGGGGGTGTGTGTGCTGTTAGTTATTTTGGTGTCTCACTAGGGTTTTCTAGCAGGGGTCCTAGACTGTTAGTTCTTACTCCTATTTGCGGGGGGTAGTGTATGAAGTCAAACCCTTGAGACATTTGTGTTTCCAGATCGTTTATGGTCCACAAGAGTATTCAGCAGGGCTTTGGGGGGAGATGTGTCTAAGAACTTTCCAGGGTGCAGAGGCTGTAAGGCCTGAGTTCTGAGCCATTGGTCCCACCCTCCACTCTCCCTGGCTCAGTTGGCCTGCAGGGGCTGGCCTGGCCCAGATGCTCCATGACCCAGCTCCACCTTTTCCCCTTCTAAGCTGGGGCACTGATTTTCTCTTTGGGTGGGTGGGGTCTCTGGGATCTAGGTGTTCAAGCCCAAACCAATCATGGCCGGAAGACCCATCCGCATAGGAGACCAGCTGGTTCTGGAGGAAGATTATGATGAGACCTACATCCCCAGTGAACAAGGTAAGAGGCCTGGGTGTATTGTAATAGTTCTTTGAGGACAGTTTTTATGATTTATTTTTGTTCTTCTAATGCAAAGTATGGTACATGCACAGGGTTGCTCAGTGTATTTGGGTTAGATCAGGGGTTGGCAAACTGTAGCCCATGGGCCTAACTTGGCCTGTTGCTTGCTTTTGTAGCTAAAGTTTTATTAGATAACAGCCATGCTTATTTATGTCTTGCTTATGGCTTCTTTCATGCTATAGGAGCAGTAGTATTGAGTAGTTGTGACAGAGACCATACAACCCACAAAACCTAAAATATTTACTGTCTGGCCCTTTACAGGAAAAGTTTGGTGACCTTGGGTCAGATCAATGATTAACTTTAAATGAAAATATAGTAGAGAATATCATGAAATACAGTATATCCTGAGGCCAGGGGAAGCCCAATTTCTTAAGAACAAACTAAAGCTGTGTGTTTTTTTTAAAAAAACAACAATAATAACATTATTAATAACAATAATAACAAAATTTATTGAGTGCTACTGTGTGCCAGTCTCTCTACTAAGAACTTTTCATGTGTTTCCTTTTCAACCCTCACAGCAACTCTGTGAGTTAGATACTATTATTATCCCCATTTTACAGATGAGGAAACCAAGGCACAGGAAGGTTAAGTAACTTTCCTGTAGTCACACAGTTTACTAATCGGGGCAGCTAGGATCCACACCTACGTATTCTAGCTCCAGGGCCTACACTTTGAAGCACCATGCTATTTTGGGGCAGTGAAGGTTTCTTTGAATTTCTCATGAGTTGTGGACCTGGACACACAAATTTTGCTTATAGTTCAGATGGTTTGAGAGCCAGTTTTGGGGAAGAACTCTTGCGTCTGTAGGAGTCTGTGGATCCCACATTAGGATAAGATAGGATTTGTTATAGCATAGGATTTTTGTTTGTTTGCCGTGTAGAAATTTTTAATCTCTGTGTTAAATTTATCGGTCTGTTCTCACATGGCCCCTGAATTTTGCATCATAGTTAGCAAAGCTTCCCTGCTCTCATTTTGTCCTCAGGTTTGTCCCCACACCGTCTGTGGCATAGCTCATCTTTCACCCACAGGTTGAGTGCCGCCTGTGTGTTTTGGGGTCTACTTTTTCTTCTGTTCCATGGGGCTGTCTGTTCATACGCCAGAACTGTGCTCTTAACTATTGAGGCTCAGTAATAAATTCTAGTATCTAGTAAGGCTGAAATACCCTCATTCCTCTTCTTTTTTTCAAAGTGTTCTTGGTTATCTTATCTGCTTTATCTCCCCATGAACTTTAGAAACACCCTGTCTTTTTCTCGGGAGGGCTGTGTATTGGGGAACTGTTGGTATTTTAGAGAAAATTGTATTAAATTTATAAATGAGCCTGGGGCGGATTGACATCTCTATGCAGTTAAATTATGCGTCCAGGTCAACCTGGAGGTTCCTGTCAAAGAACATCTGTTCCTTTCCGTTTGTGTCTGTTTTCTGCTCTTCAGGGGGTGACTTAAAAGTTTTCTTCATTTGGGTTTTGCACATTTCTTGCTCAGTTTATTTCTTAAAGATTTTATTCTTTTTGGTTTGCTATTATAAACGGGGTCTAACTTTTTCTAAGGCTATTTATAAAGAACTCTCTTCTGCTCAGTCATGCGTAGACGTCCTAAGCTTGAGCACCCATTTTCTCTTCCTGGACTTGCAGCAGCTTCCTAATCAGCCTCCTGCTTCTACTCTTGCCCTTCTCCAGTCTGTGCTCCACTTAGCACCAGAGTGATCTTATAGTGTAAAGCAGATCATATCAGGGCTCTGCTTTTCATAATCTTCCACATAATCCTCCATTATGCTCAGCATAACGCCCTTAGTGGGATGTGCAGGGCTGTGCATGACCCGGCCCTGCCACCCAGCCAGGCTCACCCAGTGCCTCTCTCTCCCTCCCTCTGCTAGGCACATGGTCTTTCTGACGGTCCCCAGACAGGCCAGGCTGCCACATGTCACAGGCCCTTTGAACCTGCTCTTCTGCCCGAGTCCTCTTTCCTCAGTGCTCTGCATAGCTGTGGCTCCTTTGTTTCCTCCAGGATTTAGTTAAGTGTCCCATTCTGAGAGGTTTTCTGACCACCCTTTGTAAAAGACTGCCCCTCCACCTTGACAATCTCTGTCTCATACCTCACTCACTTCCTTCATTACATTTATCAGAAGCCTTAATTCCTTGCATATCTATCTGTTGATGTCATTACTGGCTGTTTCTTCTACCAGCATGTAAGCTCCATAAGGACAGAGGGCATTTCTGTCTTAGTCATGGCACATGGTGACTGGCACATAGGAGACACTCAAAAAATACGTGTGAAATTAATGAACACATTAGTCCTTGGCTAACCAAATTTCGGCTGGTCCTTTTTGCCTTTCCTAGTCCCCAGGTATGTCATCTTCCAAAGTCCTCCACTGAGATGACCCATAAAGGATATGGTAAAGGGTAGAGGTGAACAGCCAGATGAAGAGATACATAGGGCAAGGTCTGAGAGGGTCCCAAGTGCAGGATCTTCTGTCTCAGTGGAGCTGGGATGTGCCACCCTCCTTGCACGTGGAAGTGCCAGAAGCTCTCTGAACCCCAGAGTTTAGGGATTTTTATGGAGGCTTCGTCATGTATGTATGATTGCTTATTAACTCATTTTCCAGCCCCTCTCCAGAGAATGAGGGGAGAGGCTGTAAGTTCCAAGCTTCTGATCATGGCTTGGTCTTTCTGGTGGCCAGGTCCCATCCAGGAGCCCACCCAGAGTCGCCTCATTGAGACAGAAGACTCTCCTATCACTCAGGAAATTCCAAGGGCTTTAGGAACTCTGTGTCAGGAACTGGGACCAAAGACCAAACATTAATAGGAACGGGGGCAGGAACCAATATATAGCTCTCTTATTATCTCCCAAGACTGACTGATTCTTCCTTCTTTGTATCCACCCTCCTCCCACCCCCATCTCTCTTACCTTCCCACCCTCCTACCCCTCCTTGCAGAAATTCTTGAATTTGCCAAAGAGATTGGTATTAATCCCATAGAAGAACCAGAGCTGATGTGGCTGGCACGGGAGGGCATTGTGGCCCCACTGCCTGGGGAGTGGAAACCATGGTGAGTCAGCACGGGCGCCACCTTCTGGCTTGGCCTTTGAGGCGGAAGGGGCCTGACACTGGAGATCAGCTTTAACCAGCCACCTTTCGAAGCCTGTCCTGCAATGGGCCATCCCTCTGCTGGGCCGCCTGATGCTTTGGGCCTGAGCCCAGGCCGCCTTGATGGTCCCTGGAGGG